TTACATTTCACTTTCCATACTCAGGCCTAATTACTGCCAGACCTGTTGAATCAAGATACCACTTAAATAGAAGTTGTCTGACAAAGTGAAGCATGCTAAAAGATCTAAAAAAGCAACACATCATGCCGTCATCTAAAGGAATTCAAGAACAGATGAGAAACAAAGTAATTGACATGTGTCTGGAAAGTTTTGGAAGGCGTACATACTGTTACATCTGGCAAAAAAACTAACATAGCATTTCATAAAAATAACATCATACCAACAGTCAAACAAGATGGTGGTAGTGTGATGGTCTGGCACAGGTTTGCAGCTTCAGGACCTGGACAACTTGCCATAATTGAAAGAACCATAAATTCTGCACTCTACCAGAAAATCCTGAAGGAGAATGTCCTGCCATCAATTCATGACCTCAAGCTCAAGTGCACTTGGGTTATGCAGCAGGATAGTGATCCAAAACACAGCAGCAAGTCCACCTCTGAATGGCTTAAAAAAATGTAGTTTTAGGAGTGGCCTAGTCAAAGTCTGAACTTTGAAATCCGATTGAGATGCTGTGGTATGACCTTCATGCTTGAAAACCCTCCATTGTTGACTGAATTAAAACAATTCTGCAAAGAAGAGTGGGCCAAAATTCCTCCACAGGGATGTAAAAGACTCATTGCCAGTTATCCCAAATGATTGCAGTTGTTGCCGCCAAGAGTGGCACAAACAGTTATTAGGTTTAGAGGGCAATTACTTTTTCACATAGGGCCAGGCAGGTCTGGACAGCTTTTTCCCTTAATAAATGAAATCATCATTTAAAACCACCATTTTGTATTTATTGGGGTTATCTTTTTGTAATATTAAAATTTGTTTTATTTGTCATTTAAGTATGACAAATAAAAAAAAAATCAGGAAAAGGGGCAAACAATTTTTGACAGCACTGTACCTCCTAAAGAGGACTGTGTTAAGGCAGGTAGGTTTATTGTATTGCAGAAGAGACATTGCTTGCCTCCTTTACAATAAAGAGCAATAAAGAGTTCACTTTTTTAACACTAAACTTTAGTTCTGCTTTAAATAAAGACTAGAAAAAAAAACACTACATTTACTCTAACATGCATAATATTTTGCATACAGCATATATGATAAGAATACATAAGTAATACATTGTAAAACAATACACTGAATGTATAAAAAAATAAATATAGAAACATTTTGAAATGTCACACCTCCCTAGCTTGGGTGTCAGGCCCCATGGCTGGAAACTTGCTGCTCTAAATTAAGTGACTCCAATAAAAGAATGTCTTCCACCCAAACCATTGTCTGTATTTACTTATTTCTGATAACTATGGCTGGTACCAGCTATAGTTATATAAATTAAAGCAATTTTATTTTATTTCTTTTAGGTAGGCAATGCCACATTCAATCTGTGAATCAAAGGAAAAACACTTAAGTGAGTCAACTTAGTGGGAATGCAACTTGATTTGGTTAGACAGTAATTACGATCAATGAACAAATAAATACATTTGTTTTTCAGCCAACTATGTTAGATTTCTAACTATTTAATTAGTAGTGTTGAAGATTGCTGGATCAAATCTTTGTGAGTGTGGGTGTGAGATCTTAATAGCAGGGCAAATATGAGTATCCATGGATGTCTAGTAGTCTTAAAGATGAACTCCAGGTAAACTGCAAAATACACAGTTGAAATAAATATATAGGAGCTGTTTTACCCGCTAAAGGATTTCAATCTCTGTTAAATGACTCTTTGGATTTATACTGTCTATTCAGGATGCTGACCTGACTTTTCTCTGCTACAGGTATTGTTGCTGGCTACAACAGAAGAATATGAATCAGAGGTGTACTAATAAGTTGAGCATACGGTGGCTGGGGGGAGAGGGGAGCAGAAGCAGCCCAGTGCGGTCACACTGACTTTTGCCCTGCATGGGTGTCTCTAGTTATTTTTAGTAAAAATAAAAATGATTGTAATACATAACTGCATTATTAGCCTGCTTCAAAAAAACAGATCAAATCTAATCAGTATAATTGACTATGATGTCCAGAGCACTATATGGGATCACATTTTCCAACTGCAAAAGAAGAACCTTGTCATGATTGATCAGTGTCATGAAGGCAAAAAGTGGTTCTTATTCTTCTGTCTGTCATTTCTTTTATACAAAACAAATGTTGCACTCTCCTAGGTCGGTTGCTAGGATGATAGGTAAATTTAGCTCTTTGTGGCTCCTCTGTAAACACTAGAGCAGATATTGATTTCTCTGGGCTGTTCTAGATCTCACAAGCTACAGGTTTGATGGCTTCCTTTGCATTCTGGAAGCTTCCAGAACATAGAGGGCTTGGAGTGTCAAATTGGCAGTTTGAATATTTATTTTCCTGCAGCCAGTCCCTTAGGAGGTGTGCCTAAGGTGGCCGGGGAACATAAATAGTCTGGGGTCTGGAGCAGTCCGATTCTTGTCCTGTGTGACGGGAGTCACTTTGGGAGGGGGGGGTCCATGGAACTCAGTTCATTTTGGAGAGGTGGAGAGACCCATGTCTCCGCTCCCCATTTCCCTATTATGTGTAATTCACCCTGTGCCTGTTAGAGGTACAGGGTGATCTGTCCTAATATTGTGTGGGGGTTATATGACAAATGTCCACAATTATTGTATATAGTCCAACACCAATCAATGAAAAATGAATATTTGGAATCTTTCTGTAAATAATAACCACCGTGAAGAAAATCCACCACCGAATGAATTAAATAACTCACCAGAGCTATATGCTGATCAAATTATAAATCAGCATAATAGCTATTGCTCTGGGAGCGATGATCTGCTGAAATTTCCAAGGAAGCAATGCACTGCAAACAGCCCACCAGCATGGATAGGAAACACTCTGAAGTTAAATAGTCATCCATTCTCTCTCCATCAGAATGGTAATACTCGGGGAAGCAAGAAGAAATATAATGGTGCAATACGTTTTAAAACCATAAACTTTATTATATACTGATGTACACTCACAAAAGAGGTGTCTATGCCGACACCAGCAATGACAGCCTCTGCAAAGACAACTACGAGCCTTGCTCACCGCCGCAGCCCAGCCCAGCGGTATTGTGGTATCAGAATGCCGTTTCGATTGGATATAGTATACCCGCAATGCAGATTGAGTAGGATATATAGTGAGTGAATAGACGTCTGTCATCTATTCCGCTCCGTGAGGACGTCGAATGACGAAATGCGTAGGGCTTAATGGATGTGACGTCAAGACGCTCCTTGGTACTGTCAGCTGGGCTGGGCCAAACCTGGGGCTGATTGCAGAAAGGTGTATTTAAGGCATGGCCAGGCCTGTGATCTGGGCCTTGGTGTATGTTTTCCCATGAGCCTCTGTACCTGGTATCCTGTGTTCCTGCTTCGTTGCTGACCCTGCTTGATCCTGACCTCTGCTGACTAAAGAAGTGTATAAACGCAGTGCAATCTTCGACCAGACAGGCCTTGTGTAAGCTGAGCATTGTCCAACCCTTACTGCAGACATGGTCAGACTTGTTACAGCTAGCCTCAGTCAGCTTGCAACAAACCAGTCCTGCTTCTCATCATTCCTCTGTTCAAAGCTCTCTTCCTGCATTCCCGACAGCACCCCCAGTGACAGCCCAGTATACCCTGCTATCTACCACATGTCAGTCCCCTGCTCCCACTCGCTGTACCATCCTGCCAGTATCCAAACCGGTCAGCCTGTCGTCTGAGAACCCGCCTTCCGTGGTTCAGCCAGTTGACTCGGTGCCAGTTGACTCGGTGCCCACTGTCGTGTCAGTTGACTCGGTGCCAGTTGACTCGGTGCCCACTGTCGTGCCAGTTGACTCGGTGCCCGCTGTTGAGCCGGATGACTTGATGCCCGGTGACTCGGTGCCAGTTGACTCGGTGCCCGCTGTCGAGCCAGATGACTTTATGCCTGATGATTCGGTGCCCGCTATCGTGCCAGTTGACTTGGTGCCTGCTGTCGTACCAGTTGACTAGGTGCCAGTTGACTCGGTGCCCACTGTCATGCCAGTTGACTTGGTGCCCGCTGTCGTACCAGTTGACTCGGTGCCAGTTGACTCGGTGCCCACTGTCGTGCCAGTTTACTCGGTGCCCGCTGTTGAGCCAGATGACCTGATGCCTGAGGACCCAGTGCCCGCTGTCGTGCCAGTTTACTCGGTGCCCGCTGTTGAGCCAGATGACCTGATGCCTGAGGACCCAGTGCCCGCTGTTGAGCCACATGACCTGATGCCTGATGAGTGCCCGCTGTCGTGCCAGTTGATTCAGTGCCCACTGTTGTGCCAGTTAATTTGGTGCCTGCTGTCGAGCTTGGTGACCCGGTACCCGCGGTTCTGCTAGATGGCTCGGTACCCGCTGACATGCCCGGTGACTCGGTGCCCGCTGACTTGCCAGGTGACTCTGTGCCCGCGGTTCTGCTAGATGGCTCGGTGCCCGCTGACATGCCCGGTGACTCGGTGCCCGCTGACTTGCCAGGTGACTCTGTGCCCGCGGTTCTGCTAGATGGCTCGGTGCCCGCTGACGTGCCAGGTGACTCGGGGCCCGCTGTCGTGCCAGATGACTCGGTGCCCGCTGACGTGCCTCTGCCCGCTGCACAGCCCGACATGCCAGCCCCTGATGTCCAGCTAAACTGGCCAATAACTGATTCCCAGCCTGCTCCTGGAAATCCTGTGCCCAGTGACCTGCCTTCCTGGGTTCTCCTACACAAAGAGAAGTCTACCAGCAGGAAACCCAGCCAGCCGGTTTACTCCGGCAGTTGGATATTCAGCCAGTTACCTGACCCGGGCGGTGGAACATTTTGCTCACTAAGGACTGTCTGGAGCGTCCTGAGGCCGCTCCTTGAGGGGGGGGGGGTACTGTCAGGAATGGACTCAGCACTGGTGGTGGGACTCACCTGCCGTGTGGGCTGCAGTACCAGAGCTGACCAGCGGGTGCTCTCAGCAGCCAGAAGCTCACTTCTGCAATCAGCCAAACCTGGGGCTGATTGCAGAAAGGTGTATTTAAGGCATGGCCAGGCCTGTGATCTGGGCCTTGGTGTATGCTTTCCCATGAGCCTCTGTACCTGGTATCCTGTGTTCCTGCTTCGTTGCTGACCCTGCTTGATCCTGACCTCTGCTGACTGTCTCCTGTTGAACCCCTGGCTTGCCTGACCATCCTTCTGCCTGATCCCCTGTACCACGCTGCCCGTGAGTTACTGAACCCGGCTTGTGACCCTGTTGTTGATCTCAACAAACCCCCCAACATTCTATTTAGAATATATGGAATGTAAAAAAAATGAGGCTGCAGTGACCATTGAGATATAACATAAACACTTTATTAATACACAAATCCTTAAAAACACACCATGGTGAAATGAAAGCCTTCAGCTACATCCACTAGAAATGCAAAAATCATAATCTTCTAAAAAGTCACACAAATTAAGGTGCAATATATACAGCATACCTGCACTCATTTTTTTTTAAAGAATTTGTGTGTAATAAAGTGTATATGTATGTATTTCAATGTCACAGCAGCCTTGAACTTTATATTCAATGTATTATGAATATAGAATGTTAGCAGGGGTTGTACAGCTCTAATCAGATTTTTTTTTTTGTAGTTGGGTTACTTAACCCTCTTCATGTTGGTGGTGGAGCCCTGTGGGAGCTGGCCCCCACAGATGCCAGCTGCATCTATGATATACCTCTGAAGCACCCGCTGGTTACTTGACAGCTGTCATATGGAGAGGAATGGATGGGTCATCTTAGTCTCTCCCATTGCCGCCCCTCGGTGCCAGATCTCCTCCACATCACAAGTGCTAGAAAGATTCATGTAGCAGCATAGCGCTTGTGATGTGGAGGAGATCAGGCGCTGAGGGAGCAGTAAGGGGAAAGGCTCAAATGACCCATCCATTTATCTCCAGATGTCAGCTGTCTTCCACCTTCACAATCGCACCAGCCGTGGTGTCAGGGACCATCGCGCGCATGGGTCTACACATGCGTAGGTGTCTGTCAAGACATGCAGGCAGCAGGGCACTAGGACCCAGGCGCACTCGTCGTCTATGACAGTACTGGGCAGGCACTAGGACCTAGGCTGCCCCTGTCAGGTGCAGGGTGGGCTACTTAAACCAGCCCTGAACAGACACTTGTTGCCGAATGGTCTTTGCGTATCCTGTTGCCTGTGTTGTGAGTACTCTGATCTGGATTGTCTGACCTTGTTGCCTTCTCCTGTCCTGACCCCTTGGCTTGCCTGACTCTGCTCCTGGATGCTCCCTTATAGATCTGATCTTCTAGTATTGACCCTGCATGGGACCCGACTATCCTTTGCCTATTGTCTTGTACCGCACCGACCCGCTAGTTACCGACACGGCCTGTTTGATCTTGCTCATCCATCCCTCAGGGATCCCCGGGCTCCCTCACATCAGACTCTTAACCCACAGGAGCCTCTGGCAGACTCCTCTACCTCTGGTAGAGATACCCGGTAGCTGCGACCTGGTCCCGGAGCGCTCCAAGTCCATCCCCACCATCAGGGGCCTTGGTGAACAAGTGCTCCGGTACTTAGACTCCGCACTCTGGGGAGGCTCTATCAGGGGACTGATAGAGGTGCTGTCAGGTGGTCCATTACACGTGGTATGGGGGTGCATGGGATAATGGATGTTATCACTAGTGCATTCCTCCCACCGTCACCTCCTCTCCTTCCCCTCACCAGAAGTAAGGTTTCTCTTTCAGCAAGTGCTCATTCTACTCACCTTCCCCACCCACCTCAGGTTGCTATTGGAGGGAGGAGATAGTAGAATCCTCCTTCCAGCAGCTGTTGCAGTCCCGCTCTGTGCTCCGTTCTCCATCTGCCTGAGATGGGTGCATGATCACTCCTGTCATTCAGGCAGATGAAGAACGGATCACTAACAAGCTCCCTGCACCCTCTTCTTCACAGGACCACACAGCGCCTAGGGCAGATGCCGCTTCTGCCATCCCCGTCAAAGACCCTGGGTAGTACTCTTACTAAGACAGCTCTCATAGGGTCTCAGATACTGTCCATTCCACTTCAGGATTCTGACTGTGAGCTTTAGGAAGAGTGCTTTTCTGTACTATGCAGTGTTCCTGACATTGCATTGGTTACCTACAGCTGTGCAATTGTGCAAGGTAACCAGACACCAAAAAAGACTCATGATCCTCAGCTGTGAGGCTTTAACACTGTTCAGAAAGATACCTCATAGTCCCCAGCTGTGAGGGTTTTGACTGTCCTCTCATTGATGTTTCTAGCCATTCTGGAGAACCACCAGGAACCACCCCAACCCCTCTCCTGTCACATGTTCCACAAGAGTTAAATCTTAAAAAGACATCCTCTAGACCGTTTAAGGGAGCCAGAGTGAAAGGAATGTTGCCTGTGTGATTGGTAACCTCTGCACTATTTGGGGAAGAACTATTAAAATCATCAGCTCCTGCAGGGGTAGCACTACACAATATTCCATGCTACCTTTACTCCATCAAAGAGTAATTAAAGGTTCTGGCTGGAGTATCACTTTAAAGATGTGCTCCACTACACTAAAAGCTACCTATCTGAGCCTATGATATCCAATCCACAGTGCCCTGAAAGCAATAATTGAGCATGCCATAATTATTAATATGATTGTAGCTTTAAGCATGTGTGCTTTTAAGTATATCTTAATGACACGTACAACTTTTCACTGTACATTCATTAGAAAAATCAAAAATGCTTACCACCAAGAAGCAGTGACACAATAAGGTCTGATGATGACTTCATTGTACACATGTCCTCTGTCTGAGAGCTGTCTTGTAGTCTTTGAAGGATGTCACAAAGTGTCTCCTGGACAGAAGCATCTACCAGCTGTATCTTAAGAGGTTCTAAATAAGAGATTTATGGTGTTACAAGACATTTAGAATGAGGCAAGCTAGAACTCATCTTACAGTTGAGGAAAAATAATCAGTGCTTTTGCATGTGTCAGGTTTCATGGTACATGGTGAAGAAGTTGTAGGTTTGCACTTTTTAATACTGGGACACAAGCTCTGAAACTTGTACCCAAGAGAAGATGCGTTTAGAGCGAAATTCTCCTGGTTACATGCTCTTTTCCTTTCTTTGATTCTACAATGGGAATTGCCTTTGAACTGGCACCCTCTCACTTGTTTCTTATTCTTTTATTTCCTATATACTGTAGGAATGTTAATTACATTTTCATAGAAAATGATGGGTTCAATGGGTATGTTGTCCAGTGTGGAGATTTTTATTTTAAAACACTTTTTAGTGTGAATTATGACATTACATGCCAAAGGTCAACAAGAAAATAACAATGTAACATTGTAGACAAATGGTTATTACTCAGGAAAATATTATTACACAAAAAACAAAAATATAGCCAAGAGCATTTGCATGCATTTAAAATTCTTGTAGAAAGCTATCCAATGTACCACACGGTGGGATGATAAATCTTGTATCATTTAAGAAAGCGCGTTCATATAAAATGTGCTATCTACCCATATTCTTCCAACATTTATCAAACATTTCACAAGAAGCTGTTTTATGTGAAAACATTCTTTCATAGGAATAATGAGTGTTAATCAGATCTAGAACTTCAAAAGGGATTAGGAGCTAAGTTGCAAGTCCAATACCTGGTAATGATCATTTTGACTGCCACTAGAATGTGTAATGTCTCTGTTCTCAAATCATGGGGGAATATATCAATACCTAGGTATAGGATAGCTAGGGCTGAATCAGGTCTCGTCAGAATTCCTGTTGTCGCTGAAATAATCAAAAAGATTTTTCTCCAGAAGCTGGAAAGGTTTTTTACAAGACCAGAAAATATGAACTAGGTTTCCCACCTGTCCCCACATCTTATCCAGCAGAGGGGAAAGCAAGATTGTGAGAATTTTGCTAGCTTGTAGGGTGTCTAGTACCAACAGGTGAGCAATTTTTGAAATTGTTCCCAGTGAGATATGTTATGTGATAAAGTATAGGTAGATATAATTGCTGCACTTCATTGTAGCTCTGAATAGGAATTCTGGAGGTCTGTTTCCCACTTCTGGATATAGGGTATTTTCAGGAAAGTCAGCTTATTTTGTAGTGCATTCTAAAAAAGAGAGAAACCTTTGGATTTGAGTGTTGGGGAGGATAGAAATTGCCATATATTTTCTGATATCATTATACATGGAAGGGAGGTTTTATGAAAAAAGCTGAGTAGCCTCGTATGTATGTATATTGTAGATTTGGGCAATGTAGAGATTTTAACTAAGCAGATCTCCAACAAACAGGGACCACATCTTGGATCTAGAAACAATATAAATAATATATACTATACATTATACTGGACTTATATTTGTGTTCAGATATACAATAGTTTGTTTTAAGTTATCTATTTAAATCCAATGATAGTTACATAGTCTGGCTGAAAAAAGACAAAAGTCCATCCAGTTCAACCATGGAAAAAAAAAAAAGTTATAATCCTATACCCACAGTTGATCCAGAGGAAGGTGAAAAAACCCCAGCAAAGCACGATCCAATTTGCTCCTGCTGGGAAAAAATCCTTCCTGATCCCCCGAGAGGCAATCGGATATTCTCTGGATCAACTTTACCTATAAATATTAGTATCCAGTAATATTCTGTGTATCTAAGAAACAATCCAGGACTTTTTTTAAAGCAATCCGTGTTTGGAAATTACATTTTTTTCCTCCAGAAGTAAAGAGTGCCCCCCCCTTGTACTCTGTGATGACCTCAGGGTGAATAGCTCTACACTGAGTTCACTATATGAACCACTGATGTATTTATACATGTTGATCATATCCCCCCTTAATCTCCTCTTCTCAAGAGAGAATAAATTCCAATCTTTCCTCATAGTTGATCTCCTCCATGCCTCGTATCAGTTTAGTTGCCCTTCTCTGTACTTTCTCAAGTTCCCTAATGTTCTTTTTGTGAATTGGTGTCCAAAACTGAACTGCATATTCCAGATGAGGTATTCCTAATGATTTGTACAGGGGTAATATAATATCTCTCTATTAGATAACCAAGGGGGCAAGAAAATATACAGAGAGGGTAAACTTCAATAAAATGGTGGACATCTACACACAGACACTGACTTTCTGTTGCATGAATTTGAATAAAATGGGTAAAAGATTGCATCAACTCCTGTTCTTCACATGTCGGGAAGCCTTAGATGCGTTTTTTTTTTGAGGGGATTAATTATAGAGGCCTCTGATGATTAAACCCTGAAAAGGCATCTGAGGAGTTTTCTACAGATGGAAAACAGGAGCTGAAGCCATCTTTTACCCATTTTATTCACATTCATGCAACAGGGAGTCAGTGTCTGTGTGCAGATAGCCACCATTTTGATGAAGTCTACTGGAGCTTTACAAGCCAATCCTGTCTGTCTTGCAGCAGTCTATCCACACGCTGTTTCAACTGATAGATGTTTGGGGGGAATTTGAGTGGTACTATTTTTATTGTCTTGGGCTAGACAGAGAGGGTACACTAAAAATGAAGGGGGTTCAACAAAATGCACATAGAGGCAATGCAAGGAAGCAGGATGGCAGAGAAGGATATTTAACCAAGAGCAATAAAGAACATTAAACTAGCAACATACCAGACAACTGGGGCTATACAAAGTACAGAAGATGAAAGCAGAAGCAGAGGATACACACAAGAGCAGAGTCTGAAATACAAGTCGAACACAAGGTGAAGTGGTACAGAACAAACAACACTGACCAGAAAACACAAAGACAGAAGACAAGGTGAACACAAAGATCCAACTGACCAAAAAAGCACTAAAGAAGGATGTCAGATCAGAAGGCAATGTCTCAAGATGCAATTGACAAAGACAGCAACTATGCTTCAGGAACTTTCTACAACAAAAGCAGATCTATAAAAAATAAAAAGTGGAGCGCTAAAATAAATGAATAATATTGTAGTGAAATAATAAAGTGCAAAGTGGGCATACCCCTGAAGACGTGCATGCGCACTAAACGTGTCGGGTGGAGCCACACTTGCTGACATCATGCTGCCGTTGCCGAAGGTCGGAACGATGACCATCTTGGTACTCCATTTACCCTTATTTTATCTATCTTCCACGTGGATTGTCTTATTATTATTAATAAAATTACTACACTATGAACAATTTCTGGCTCCTGTGGTGAGCTACTCCTCATAGGAGCGGGTCCACCTGCAGTTTGCCCTTGGCTGAGCATCCTATACAGAGGCTTCATTGCTGGTTCCTATGTCCAGATGAGATGTGCTTACATGCTGTTTACCAGTAGATGTCTGGTGAGTTTACATCTGACAGAGGTGGTGGATTCCCTGTTGGATCACTTCACAGTGTTTCACTGTGATTGCCGTACTTATATTTTCACGGACAATTTTAGTTCTTACTTCACTGACAGTTTTATGGACTTTGTTTATTA